CCTTAAAATATTTGTATTTATGGCTTTGGGAGCCACTCCCTGACAGAAACAACACCTGGACCTCAGCAGCTTGCGTAGCAAAGACCAGAGTGCCTCGGTTGTGGCAGGCATAGGCCACTTTGGTTTCCACAGTTGATGAGACCCCCTGGAAGATGATCTTGTCCTGGTTGTTGCCACAGCCGTCGCTCCCCTCAAATCCCCGGACATAGATAACAATGTGCTTCTGGGGGCCTGCCCAGATGGTCCAGTTGCACCAGATGTTGGTTTTAATGTCAGCACGCAGCGGGAGGTAAAACACCCCAGACCCATCCCGAAAGATGAGATGGCAGCTCCTGAGGGGAAAGTACTCCATTGCCCAGGGAGGTCCCAACTCTGACACATCAGAAACACAGAAAAGAAACGTGTAATCAAAGGTCATTATATGCACCAAGACAACATAGATATCACATTTACAGGAGAACTGTAAATTGCCACAGAAGAGGCACCATTTCAGACCCTCTCTTGCTGCAAGGTTTCTATAGTTTCAGCCCCTGGAGCCACATATCCACTCTACAATTGGAGCTGAGCTTCTGTGAGGGGCTGCACAAAGCAGACCCAATGCCAGCCAGCCCCAAGACAGACTCACCAATGGCCAAAGCCAAGCTCATCATCAATAGTTGCAGCGCCTCGAGAATAACATAATTAAGTAGGGGAAAAAATCTGCTGCACAAAAGTAGACAGAAGGAAGAAGTGGACTGTGTGAGAGAAACAACTCTGCAGACACCAAAGTCAGCGCAGAAAGAAGGGAAGAAGGGGCTCCAGGCACTGAGCAGAGGTTCACCTGCAGCCCATGAAGGACTGCACCCTGTGGAAGGGACCCACACTGGAGCATGGGGCAGAGTGTGAGGAGTCCTCCTCTTGAGGAGGAAGGAGCAGGAGAGAATGTGTGAAGTGACCACAGCTCCCATTCCCTGTCTCCCTGCACCTCTCGGGGCAGGGGAGGAGGTAGAGAAACCAGGAGTGAAGTTGAGCCTAGGAAAAAGGAAGGGATAGGGGAAAACTGTTTTTAAGATTTGGTTTGATTTCTCATTTCCTATTCTGATACGACTGATAATAAATTAAAGTGATTTCCCTGAGCTGAGTCTGGTTTGCCCATGACAGGAATAGGCAAGTGATCTCTCCCCATCCTTATCTCAACCCACAAGCCTTTTGTTATATTTTTTTTCTCCCCTGTCCCACTGAGCAGGGGAGTGAGAGCAGCTCTGGTGGGCACCTGGTGTCCAGAAAGGGTCAACCCACCACACTTCTCCCCAGAGAGCAGGTTATGATGGCAAGGTGGAGACTGCAGGTAAAAGACACAGCCTTGGCCTTGCCCTCACCAAGTACTTCTGGCCTTCTGAAGATGGGCTACACCAAAATTCAGTGTACTGGAAGACCTACCAGCATGTTTCTGTTGCTGTCCTGGTATCTGGGTGTTTCTGGATACATCAGAGGGATCCCAAGGCTTTTGGTCTCTTGATAGTGTTCCTTCCCATGGGGCTGCAGGAAGATCAGGATGTGCAGGAGTGGTGCTGAAGGAGACAGTTCTTTGCTGTGATGAGTGGCAAGGTGGTGAAGGGCAGACCATCTCCTGTCCTCCTGGGCTAGCTGGGGACATGTCCACCTTTCGCCTGGGACTGACAAGGTCCAGATCCAAAGCAGCTGGTAGAGAGGCCACCTCGGACACAGGTTCCATTTGTGGAGGAAGAGGTGCTTCAGGGATTAAATTCATAGAGCCAAAGTCTACAGGGACAGGTGCTGTGCTGGAGGTCACCAGCAGAGGGGTTGTTTCTGCCCCTGGGGCAGCCATGGGGGTGAGAGGATGCTCCAGCCCTGCTGGCAAAGTGTGTGCAGCCAGCCCGGGCTGTGCAGCTCCGTCGCTTTGGTCGTCACAGCTTTGTACACCTGAGGAATACACACGAACTTTCTCAGCAGCTGGACAGTCACGTGTTTGGGCATTTGGGGGAAGCTTTCTGTTTGTAGGGTCCAAATGCAGGACATGACTGCTCTGGCCATGCAAATGAGGATGCTCTTGCAGGATGTCCCATGGTGCTGTGGGGAGCAGCACTGTTTTCCTCCTGACAACACCCCTAGAGCTTTCCAGAGGGGAAATACCCCTGAGCTTTGTATGTTGGAGGCCAGTTGTTCCCAGCTCAGATTTAGATGTGGACAAGTGCCTTAAACTGCTTTGGCAGCTTGGGCTTCTCTCAGGTAGCAGATTCAAGTGGTCCTTGTTTACCACTTCATAAGGGCTGCTCAGGCTGGGCGTCAGGCCTTGTGCAAGGCCATCGGCTTCACTGCTCGCTGTGCCATCAGCTGGGATGCTCAGATGGGGATGGCTTTCACCCTCCTCCAAGCTGACTGTGCTGAGCTGCTGGTTCCTGGTGGTACCTGCGCTTTCTTGGCTTTCCCCTCTGCCAGGGGACACAGATTGCGAGTGTGCAGCCGAGTCCAGGCAACTGGTGCGTGTTGGTTTAATAGTAAATTGTAGGTCACCCAGACCTTTTGGCTTCAGGGTAGTGCTCAGGACAGACTGGCTGTTCTCCAGACTCACACCTGCTGGCTGCAAAAGAGGTTCTGCTGCGTGCAAGGCACCAAGCAAAGGAGTTTCCAAAAGCACACTTGAAAGCCTGTGCCTATAGCCAAAACCCTCAGTGATGTCCCCACTCACAGAGAGACTCTGCCCCCAGCTGTCCTGTGCTGCAGTGGGAATTATACCCTCAGGTTTTCCTGTGCCTTGAGCTTCCTGAACCCCCGGCATCTCAGACCCCAGCTCACCAGGAGTTTTTGTTTCCAGAGGCAGCATCTTTGCACGTCCACATGGGATAAGCTCAATAGGACTTCCCACAGCCATAGTATTCAGAGTGATCCCTCTTTCCTGCATCAGCTCACCACCTAGCACTGCGGTCTTGCCAAGTCTCATGGTGCTAAACGCGGTTGAAAAGCCCAGCGTACTTCTAAGGTTTTCAACCCAGCCAGACTGAAAAATACTGTGTTGCTTTGGTAGTTTCGGAGCAGGAGTTTCAGAAGTAATATGATCTTTGGAGGAAGATTCACCTTCCTGGTCTTGGAAGATGTAGTATTTCCCTTTAAACTGTGCATCTCTGCAGTTTGGCAAGTACCTCTTCAGCAACACAACGTGGACAGCCTGAGCAAAGGTGGCAAAAACATGCATCTCCTTTTTCCAGCAAGAATAAACAACACTGTTTTCCACCAGTGAAGAAACTCCTTCAAATAGAATTTTGTCCTCATTTTTGTTGCAGTCCTCCTTAGTGTTAAAGCCTTGAATATAAATTATTATGTGCTTTCTGGAGCCAGCCCAGATTGTCCAGTTGCACCAAAAGCTTATGGGGAAATCACCACGGTATGCTGGAGGAGAGAACTCCCCATACTTGTCCTTCAGAATTCTATGGCAGCTTCTTATAGGCACATATGCCAATAGCCAGGGAGACTCTGGAAGACAAGAAGCAACAACAAAGTTTTCCCCCATTCCCTGTTCCAGAGTTACCAGTCCTTATTACCAGAGGTTATTTTAAAGTCACTCTTTTTCCCGTTATGGTACCTCCTTCTCCCATTTGCCAATCAAGGTGCAGATCCATCAGCAGAACAACACGCAAGTAACTCCGTGTCAAGTCTGGGGGGCGAGGCCACCTGAGCTTGCACCCACACACAGCCTGGGGTGTGCCTAAAATGGCCAACCCTTCCAGCCCAAGTGACTGTTTCCATCCACACCTGCCAGCAACCTACCCCAAACTTCTGCCCCATCAGTGCTCGCCCCACCTGTGTGTGCCACTCCAGAGTACTTGGAAAGCTGGAGAAGCCCTAGCTGCCACCACCACCTCCTGCTCCATGTGGAGCCAGGCTGTACCCTCACTGCTACCACCCTGGAGCAGGGCACTCTCATGCTTTAAGCCCCCCTGCCACAGCCATGCAGGAGCACAGAAGTCCCAGCACAGCGACACAGTGGGTGCTACTTGTCCCTGGAAGGCAGCTTCTCATCTGCAGGATTAGGCTATTTAGGTGTCAAAACTAAAGGCTCAGGGAATTGCCACACCTGGGCGAGTTACAAAAGCAGTGAGTGCACTGTTACATTTGGTTTCAACACACAGGTGATGTTTGTTGTTTATACACAGACATGGGAGATAAAGCTCTCCTGAAGGTGTTTTCAATCTCTTTGCTTTAAAGGGCTCAGCCAAGCCAGAAGCCCTTAAAGCCTCAGTAGGATAAGCAATATTAGTATCTTGTCAAAGTGTGAAGCGCCTTCCCTTAAGCAGGAAGAAATACAGTGTTTTCCAAAAACACCATCTCAAAGCTAGAAGAGTCACAGGTTCATAATAGGTTTACCCTACAGGAGCACAAATAAAGTTTGGGTTGAACTTTTGCTACTTGTTTTAATTGCTGCAGTGCATTGCTCCTGCCTCCAGGACCTGCCCTGTGGTACGGATTTGGCAGCCAAAGGATAGTGGCACAGGTTCTCTCCCACACTAGCAGTGATTTCACCTCTCCCCAGCACCCAATACTGATCAGCCACAACCCCTTCCCTCTCCATACCACCTCAGGGCCTGACTTTCCACACCGCTTATTGTTGGCTTGAGGTACCCAACTAATTCTGAGTAGAAGAAGAAACTGGTGTGGGAATTAACTCTTAC